CCGAATTGGTTTTCCGAACCATGAGTTTATTCAGCTTAGTAACCCTACCACTGCTTTATTAAGAAGAAATGGATTTCCATTCTTGAGAAGAGCCGAAAGCATTTCGTCCGAACCAGGAAATTTGTGTCGCTTTAGAGGGCTTAACTTGTAGGAACCTTCATATTCTGATGGTGGAAAGGTGTTTAACACCAAAGAGCACCATAAATACAACAACGGGACTAGTGAGCATTGTTGGCCAGTTGAACTGCTGCTGCTCCACTCAACGTACACGCCGATCTTGGCGATTATGAATTGATTCACTCTTGGTTTCACATACAGTTGGGTTCTGGCCACCACCAGCGGATCGAAAGTCTTCTGAGTAGCCGATTTTGCATTTTGATAACATGCTGCGTCCACCAGACTTCTCTGAGGAGTTGTCTGGGCTCGACAGTGCTAGCTCTGCGTAATGCTCATACACAACTTCAGCGGGAATTGTTCGGCGGTGCCCCGTAATTTAAAAACGTTGTACGGAAACCCATTCCTCAGTGTGCCTAGTGAAGCTTCAATGGTAGTAGACTTGCGCATGCGGCCCGATCCTCCTTGATGTTTGGAGTTTAGCTATGTCAGACCGTTTTCGACGACGATGTCGGACGCAACGGTAAAGTCGAACAACTCCAGCACCCACAAGCGCTTGATCTAAAGTAATAAACACTCCAAATTGACTCATAGTGCGATGTGCCTCCTGGCCAATGATTACTGACAGCGTCGTAATCAATCTACGTCCACGATTGTCCAAACGAAAATGTCGCCAGGAGATGCGCTGGCGCCAGGAGCGCCGGAATTTAGTTCTTAATAAGCATGCTTAGTAGCATCCATTTCCGGATTTGTCTGTCACTGCGGCATCCATAGACCAGCCACAGAACGCCTGCGCCTACAGAGGGACCATGGGTGGCTTGCGCTGCACCACCCACAGCTCCAACCACATCCTATATCCAGTGTAACCCGAAGGAATAAGACCGGGAGACAGGTGGATGGGAGCCACGTTTCATCAGCTGAGTCGGTCCACACTCCTTCAATAGGTGCAACAGCAGCATTCCTGTCTATCTCTTTGGGGAATTATGCATACCAGACGTACACAAGGCAGTGCTTGGGTCGTAGTCTGCTCCATACTGTATGGAACTACACTTTGAATCTATCATGGCCACGAAGACTGTGCACCCGTCCCCCTAGCAACGATTCCCGGTCTCCTGGAACCAGTAATCGAGGTGGAGGTGTTAGACAGGTAGGCACCTGGTCAAAATGCACCTGAAGCCAGCCATACCGTTAATATCAAACAGCCAACAGATAATTTGATGGAAAATGAGCATGCAAAATTGACACGAAATATGTAACAGAACGACTATACTGATCAAATCAAATTAAGTGGAATATTTTGTGTCCGGATTAAGAAGATGTAGTTTTCATGTAAGTCGATGTAGCCAAGCTGCGGTAAAGAAGCATGATGTGTGTAAACTTAACCTCAGCGTGAGGCACCAATTTGATTACCAAAGAAAATACACACGAAAACGGGACGTTAAATGTGTGACAGAATAGCAGAATTGAGAAAATCATAAAAGTATATGAATTCTAATCTACTATCAGGGTGACGTTAGACAAGCGCATGTGCAAATCAGGGGATATCAACCGACTAATAACGTGAATTAAAGAGAGAGAAAACGCGCGAAATACAAAAGGAATATGCGGAGGATAAAAATAAATGCATAGATAAAATCAAATGGCTTAGGTCAAATCTAGTGTAATGCGGAAAAGCCAAGCTTAAGTCACTAGCCCAACTGCGGTGAAATATATACTAATAACGAATTCGGAACTGGATATATATATATATATATATATATATATATATAATTTTCACTCTAAATTAGCTCTTTCGCTAACTATATTAAACACATTCTATTCCAAGCAGGAAAATCGCAACTTCTTGACAAAGAATAAGAAGTAAGGCGACTTGACGATGTTCATATTACGTTGTAGTCACGTTATCGTTACCGAATTATGTAAGCAGAGGGTAATAATACAAGCCCTTCTCTTGATGCTGCGCGTCGTTTGCCTCCATCAAATGCGGTGAGCCAGTTTTACCCTGTCTCCCCGTTGATCTACGCGTAGTTCATGTGCCTGCGTGTGTACGCATGAATATGTGTCGCTGTACGAGTATTGAAAAGTCAGGCCCGAATTATGTAGTCTGTTATGATGCGATTGAACTTTATCTAGCTGTATCAGTTGGCTGCTTCACGATATACTGTGGGGTAGCAATACGAAGAGATATTTCGTGTAGCTGCATTTAAAATTCCTAAGGTGCAATGGTTGATTACGTTGGCGAGCCTTCCAGATATTTCACGCCGACAAAGTTTTTGTCCAGGGATTTTGTGAATTCTGCCACCGACTTTGCTTCGACTACGCTCGGCAGCAAGTTGTTCCATATATTCACTACCCTCCGTTCGAATCAGAGTTGGTGAGCGTTCGGTCTGAGTTGGCACTACAGGCTTGTACGAGTGTCTTCGTGTGCTCTTTGATGTGCGCATGTGAAGAAGCAGCTTCAACGTAGGGTTATCATCAAGATGTAATATCCGGTAGGTCATAATGAGGTCCACCCATAGTCGACAATAAGGCAGGGTTTTTATTCCTGTCCACTTGCGCCGGTCCTCGTAGGATACACCTCGTAAATTGGGGATAAGCCTGGTGTCCACATGCTGTACCCACTCAATCATTAATCCATACAGGTGGATAGGTGCCGTTACTCAGCGCTGCCGTGGAGAGAAATACAGAGAGAAGCTGATTTCCGATATCCTCTAGCACAATCAAGAGATCGTTGAACGATATTCGGATGATACTTTGATGCAAATACCTCAGCGACCTAAAGAGAACGAGATATACTTTTCCGTATCTACTGTCTTCCACGCACTCGGGAGGCTGAAGAAGTGCTTCTGTTAGCTAGTTTGCGCCAACAGTGCGACGATCATCGCAAGTCTACAGATTTGCGCTCTCGACGCCTCCGTACACTCATTGCATGATAAGGAGATGTTCATTTTTATAGACGAGACCGTTGTCAATCTCCATCTGCAGTGGATGTAGGCTCGCTTCATAAGAGGACGGAGGCGAACTTTATTTTGTTGACAATCAGACGCCGCATGGTGACGCTGATTGTGGCAATAAATGACCGAAGCATCATCCACTCAAAGATCACCAACGATGCACCTGCATATATATATATATATATATATATATATATATATATATATATATATATATATATATATATATATATATATATATATATATATATATATATATATATATATATATATAAAACTTCGGCAGCCCTTGATGTGGCAAATTTTACTTGCCTTGGCCTATGTCAAACACGGTCGATTGTTCAATATTACCCAATGAACAAGTTTACCCAATGTGGATCTCAATTCCAGTTTGATTGGTGGTTATTTCATCCGTATCACCGGCCACGCGAAGTTATTGGCGGAGATGGTGAGCTAAGCACGCCGATAAGGAGTTAAGGCAGTTTTTAATGATATTGACCTAACACATTGTCATGATGTAGACTCAGGTGTCGAGATACTCGTGACTCCGTAATTGCGGTCTTCCACTCTGGGGTCTACGGAAAGTTTGCTGTCGTCTAAAAGCTCGACCTTTTTCACAGGAAGTAGTGCCAATCCGCTTCCAACTATCATGTTAGACAATCGGGAGGCTCGATTTGTCTGACTAGCCGTTGATCAACCTAGAGTTAGTTAAATGTGTTTCGAAGCTCGATTTACCAATAAGCTCGACTAACCGTCGAATTACTCTAAAGCTCAGTGGTTTCGTCAAAAGTTCTTATGGAACACAAAACCTACGTGCATATGCGCTATGGGTTCACGACGTTGCGTAGCAGTCGTTCTCCTCAGCAACGATAGGAGATTTACCCCACTACCTCGACATAGATCACTAACTTCGGGGCATATTTGTTCTATCTATTCATTGACCATACGCTGCATGAATGTGTTTTGCGAGGATGCCAGTATCTTTTGTCTATCAGGCAGTCCATATTTTGGAGCTTTATGCGGTGTGTCTCTATGAAGCGAACGGGAGATGCGAGCATCCCTCCAGGAAACGAGGTCACTACGCTGCGTGTCTCGATTCGCGGGTGCTAACGATTCGATTCTCATCTGAATACTTTGTAAGTAGGTTGAGTATAAGCTACTCATGTTAAATGGTATAAACTAACTGCTACCGCAAGCATAGCAACTGTTATGCAATGTGCTTGAAACAGTCATACTGTCCACAGATTTTTTGTGTATGCATCCGTTTTCCGTAGAGCTAAGCTGGGTGTTTGTTTCTAGCCTACTTAGGGTGTCACTCGAATCAGATTATTTCTTTTTTAGGCCTCAAACAATCTTAATCTCTTTTCATGGAATACTTTGAAGTGGTAAATGCCAGGTTACCAGCAACGTATTCAGCTTAATTGACGTATAACATAGTCAAACAGATTGCATCAAACAGATTCCAGCGGGTTTTTTCAACCACGCTCTCTATCTGTACTCAACCTTTACTACCGTGTGAGTGTGACTGCGGAGTCAGAGGTTCCAAATCGCGCATCAATGCAAATCTCTATTTAACCCCCTCTCTTGTTGCTAGGCCTTTCTGGACAAACTGCTGAGGACGGGAAATCCTAGATGTAGTCAAGTAACATCGTCTATCTACAGTACTTAGGCAGCGGCGTTCTTTTGTCTCAAGTTTCCTTCCCTCTACAAATCACGCCAGGTTAGGTAACAAGAGGGCATTTTTATTCATCAAGCATATTAGCAAGTAAACTGGATATTACTTGTAATTCGGGAATCCAATTATGTTAGTGATCTTCATATATTCTGCTCTATATTAGATCGGCCAGTGTGCTCCCCCACTCGGAATTGATGAACTGTTTGTCTCATAGATATGCATCCAAAACGCCAACTTTGATCTTCTCTCTTATACAGGCAGTCATCAAACAATTACAAAAGGAAAAAATCGCTATCAGCCAAGAGATGCGAAAGCGCAAAAGTGGCGTCAGTTCTTACGGCACTCCGTCAACATTGCGGCATTCTTCCTCTTCGGTGGCGCTCTTCAATCCCGATTCACCAATCATAGTCGCATCCGGGCGTGGCCGCAAGCATAAGCCACAGTCATCAGAAAACCCAGGTCCTTCTGAAAACCCTGGAAAGAATCCGCTGAAAAGTGACGATTCCAGTAAGCCAATTGAACAGTACATCACTTGTGAATCGTCCGACCGCGCTCCACGCGATCCCGAATCAGGAGCGGTGAAGTGTTCGGAAACGCACAGCGAGGACTCCCGTTCTCCGACACAAGATCGTGTCCCAGCTTCTCCAGAGAACACCAGAAATTCTTCGTCCAGTATTCCCTCTGATGAAGATATTCCCAGTCCGCAACAGGATGGATGGTAGCACTTCGCAGTCTCAACCATTGATGCGTTACGATAACGCCGGTGAATCGTCTGCTCTTTTAGACCGACTGACGTGTGGAAGCATTTTACCCATTCACCGATACATCGCAGATCTCCATTTGACCCAACTGTCGCAGCATTGTGGTCACCTAACGTAAATACTGCATTCGCCTGTTCATTCGGTTTCTGATACGAACTCATTGTTGCGCCTGACTTCTTTATATCCGGATAGCATGCAATACATAACTATGGTTGTGCGAGATTCCATGAGCATCTCGATTCTGGCACTGGTGACTCCGTTGTGCACACTGCAGCTGCACGTTAGCTCCGTTAAGAATCCACTACAGGCTACTCCCGCTGTGATTAACATCTTGACTAATTCCCTAAGCCCTGCCGTGCTACTATAAACTGATCAACGGAGATTTTAAGTTGCCTGATATCCATTGGGCTATCTTAGTAGGACCTTCAAAATACCGTCAATTTCTGACCGATATAATTGCAAATGAATGGCCACAGTATATACATGTAAATACAGTTACAATAGTATCCTCGGTCTTGTTTCCTCCATTGGATACCGTCCATGACGGTTTCGGACACATTTTCTGACAGTAATCACAATCTCGTTAGGTTACGTCATAGACCTTTCAAACTGATAACCCCTGACAAACTCGCTACATTCAAAGTGAAGCCACTGGTACAGAAGTTTCCTCTCGAGTGAGATTTGCACGCTGACACAATTTTATTCGGTTGCTAGCAGGTGTATCGATGTCGTCACTCCGCTGCCGAGCAATCATGGCGGCTCCCGAACAACAGGAAGGTAGAGGAACTCCTAGAATACTACCGTAAGACACGAATTTTCAATTTTAATACGCACCAAATCCATCTCTGAGACACTATGCTGCAAAATGGAAACTAAGCTGAGCGCCGACGATGTATTAACATTTAACAGAGCCAACACGATGAATACATTAACAGTACTGCTGAAAAGAAAAGGTGAAGGCAAACATAGCAGCTCCATTTTGACTATAATGATAAGGTTTGAGAGTCACACTGTTCACTGAAAGCTCGGTACTTCTCAGTTGTACACGCTGGTACATTGTCTGAGGATGCTTTAGGAGCGATTCCATGTTGAGTAAAATGACAACGCAGCTTGTTCACCACAATATGAGCACTGGTCACTGATGTAGCCTGTCGTGAGTTGGTTTCCCTCTCCGTTATGCGTGAACAGACAAACTACTACCTTCTACCACGGTCTTCCGCAGTCTCTCGATGCACCATTGATTCTCTCCTTTGTTGAACGTCATTAGTGCGATAGGTTGGGCAGTTCGACAGTCCCGAGTATGATTGGTCATCACAGACAAAAACATCATCCTCCTGGCTCGTGCAGCGTATTGTTCACTTCCAAGTGTGCACCATGTGTCATTTCCAGCATGTTGCGCTACATTACCTCTGTGATCAACATTCGACTTCCTTTGAATATCAAACCGACTACTATAACAAGCTCATCACGAAAACTGAAATACGGTATCACTTCTAATGGTATGTGTCCGGTCGAGAGTTCCGAGTATTTCCGTGTCCGTGGGTTGTAATAGACCGAGGGGACTGAAAGGCAGAATATTTACTTCCTAAGCAGCATGTTAGTTTTATCCCACCTACCTAGTAATAGTCTGAACTGGATGAAGTTTGCGCCTGATTTAAACCTCGTGGCGACCCGACAGTTTTGTCACACTTGCCGATGGGGGACCGAGCCTGAAGTGATTGGAAGGGGATGATATGGAAACGCACGGGAGATGGCGACACCTACGAAGGAGTGGGAAGGCAAATAGAAGGGGAGATGGCAAGTGGTATTCTAGGCTGTGCACGACGACATCTTATCTTTTGACTTGCTGCAGAGACCCTCTCTGACGCGTTATAATTCTGCCGCACACTCCACTCATCCTCCAGCAATCCCACAGTTATTGTGTTTTCTAAACGTTTGCGGACTGCATCTTTACCTGTGCGACGTCTCGGTTGTTGTAAACGCTCTCCAGTGACGGCCAGTTACTGTCGCGTGGACCGTGCCAATGTCCTTTTACACTGCACCAGTATCTGGAAGATGGACTCTCGACGGCGCGTCCGTAATGTACATCTGGAATTCAAGTTGGTATTTATGAAGCTGAATGATTATCCTCTGGAAACAGTGTTTAGTGGCCCTTTGGTAATTGATAACAATGGCTTGTGATTTGTATATATGGTGGTCTTTCATCCAAAACTGTAATCGTTGAAGCGTTCGATTGCTCACGTGATCACGCGCATTTCCTTCTCCATTTGTGTATAACTATATTCTGCCGCTGCCAGACTTCGTTTTGCAATAAACTGCTGCTATTCCGTGCTAACTGCTATCGTGCTGTACCTGGAGAGCCAGAGGTGAGCCAAAGTAAGCAAGTTTTAAAGCAGCTGCGATCAGGAATTTTTAATCATTTGATGGATTTCTCCTTTTCGTTGTCCCAGTGTCAATCCCCTCTTTTGTGAGTCCGTTTCCGTATGGATGACATTGCTTTGGTTAGTCTTGGTAAAAGTGACTGAAGTTGTTGACCATTTCGTTTAACTGAGTAATTCCTTTCACGTCCGTAGAAGTTGGCGGTTCTACTGCTTTTATCTTTCCTGGATCAGGTTTTAATCCATTAGGGCTTAAAACGTGTCCATGAATTCCTACCTCTGGTTTGCGGATTTCGACCTCGTCATCCTACAGTTTAATGTTTGTTGTCAATGCATCAGTAGAAGAACCAATCCAACTTAAGATCATGCACTGATGCAGTGGCGCCGAATATTAACACCTTGTCCGCCACGAGAATATTTCCTGACAAATGTTCTAGCGCTTTTAACAGACGTTTTTGAAATTGTTAGGTTGCATGCAGAGACATTCACGATGTAACGCCATTGGTGAAGCGAAAACGGTCAACGATCACTTCGTGCTGTCCGGCATTCCACTTAGAGGAATGTAGCCACCAGCCTCACCAATGCAGAGCTACGCTGGTGACAAACTCGGTCTCTTTTTGAAATATCTCATTGGAGACTTTTGAACAGAGTCGTAAGCGTAGCCTTTGGAATCGATGAATGGGGGTGTCGAACACAACATGCCGAAATGCACTAGTTCACCCTTAAGTGTCTCTACTGCAATTTTTTCTCCCTGAATGCCCAGCACATTTCAGTCTCTCATCAATGTATCATGCATCTTGTGGCGAACATTACACATTCTTGTCAGAGGTTTGAGTTCAGTGAACTAGTTGTTAACTGATTCACCTAGAAGGCGGCTTTGACAACACTAGGTAGCGTTAATACCTTTCATTAATCTTGCCTTCGTAAAACTCACCAAGCTTTTCCATCACGTCGCTCAAACCAGACTCTTGCTGTACGTCGTCCAATTTGATTGTCTCCAGTCTTATTCCTATAACCTTAAGTATAGTGAAATCGACCACTTGGATTTTCATAATCAGATTTTGGATAGCGAACTGCTGTGGTCCTACGAGGTGGATCAAATAAGCTGGGTTATCACAGACTCCGGACTGGTGTGCCGTTGTATTGGCAGAGCACGCGATATTGGCCAAGTAATATGTATTGGCGAAGTAAACACAAAACCGGCCAAAGGCAAATGCCAATAGCACAAAACTACTGTATGTGATAATCGAAACGTGTGTTATTTTATAGGAGGCGGGTTTTTCACAAGTGTTCCATGTTGGGTGGGCCATACGATAAGAACAATGTTCTCTTACACCAAACAAAACACAGGATCCGTGGGTTTTGATGAAAACATACCAACTCTGTGTATACTTACCTCGAGTCAGTTGTATACTCGACTCGGAACATGAACTTAGTTCGCTTTTTATTACACAGTAACAAGTTCGAACACAACCCCGTGCTGGTTTCGGTTTTCCAAGCCCTGTATTTTACTCGGGTTAGGTTGGCTCTAACCCTAACCCCATCCGTCCGTCAATTAATGTTGTCTTCAAATTCCATCGCTGTTGATCTAGTTGGGATAATCTTTTACACTATTGATTGCAGATTTTACGTTTTTTGTATCTGTGTAACATTTTGTTTTCCTGAACTAGTACCAAGGTCAATCGCGTCCTATTCCGTTAATCTTTTAAAAATGTTAGGTGATATTTCAAGTAGCAAAAAGCAGATACCTTTAACATTACATATTGAACCCCGGTTTTCGAGTATTCTACTCATCCCGTGGAATTTCGCGTTGCCTACAAATGGGAAGCAATGTGGAAGGTCATTCAGTTCAAAGAAAAGCGATCAATAACCTTATCAAGGTAAGGTGAGACTGGCCATAAGCACAAATCGGTCTTCGGCCGCCGAATAGCTGAAATTTCCGCGGTCTGAAGCAAACGAGCAGTGCTCTGTTGGTTAACTGCTTTAAACGAATCACGAGGACATTGGCACGTAGTGCAGTCGAGGATGTGTTGCGCAATAGAGCTAACCGGCACTTTGGGACCGTTAACGACCATGTTTTGTTGAATATGCTCTGGTTGACAGCCTCGTCTCAGTTCGGCCCACGTACTTGCTACCACAAGTACAGTGGAAGAAATAAACACAAAAGGCAGTAACATGAGGATGTGGCTTGTCCGGATTGGATTTACAGAGCAACTTCCTAACTTGGTGCAATGACACCACATCGGCCGCGTAACAACGTTTCCTTACTGCCTGGCAGAGGTGGCGCCGGTATCTTCTCTCATTTTTATTCCCCTTAAACGGTGGCGTAATGAACACTTTTTTCTTGGGGACGTTTATCAAACGTTTCTCTCACTATTTTCTGCGCTCTCATACCGAGCTGTGAATCTCGCGGGTTATCCAATTCCTCCTACTATTGACGACACGCGTTTTAGTTCACTGTCGATCATATCTTCAGAACAAAATTTTGCGAGCTCTTGCGAAGGCAGAGCGGACGAATGCTCGTCTGTAATTTGTGGGACAGAAACTGTTGTAATTCAGATATTGTCTTGTCCAAATAGGCTTTCGATACTCTCAGATCGGGTGAGTGTGCCTTTTGCATTCCTCTTCGGGTGTACATCCAGGAAGTGGAAGGTGTTGTCCACCTCGCTTTCCATTGTGAATTTGATCGCAGAAATGGTATCTATTTAGAACTTCAAGTAAGCGCTCTGCTTGCTGAGCGTTATTAACCACAACGGACGTGTCGGCAATGTACCTACTTTACAGGTGCACTTTTTGTGTGTAAGGATGTAGTTTCGTGTGCTCCAAGTGGCCAATGAAATTACCAGCCTGGACCGACCCAAGTGGACTGCTAATAGCTACGCCATCGATTTGACGGTATATAGTTCTGTCGTATTGGAACTGTATGTCCTTCGTGCACAAACGTAGCAAAGACTTGCGGTGATGCGCTGGAAACCCAATTTTATCAGTATAATTACCGATGAGGGCTAATGTCTCTTCCAATGGGACTTTGGTGAACAATTTGCATACATCATAAGCGACCATGTATTTCCTATCTACGTTTATACCCCGTATTTCGTCGACAAATTCAAACGGTTAGCTCACATCGGATATGT